TCTCTCTCTCTCTCTCTCTCTCTCTCTCTCTCTCTCTCTCTCTCTCTCTGTGTGTGTGTGTGTGTGTGTGTGTGTGTGTGTGTGTGTGTGTGCATCACGGTGAGCTTTGCCGCATAGCGTCAATGGCCTGCATGTCTGTACCTGGCAGGATACGGAGAAGATTAGCATGGCCCCTGTGGAAGAATCGAAGTTACACCAGCATGGGTGTCATCCTTCTGCAAGGGCAAACTAATCATCTCTGTATTGTGCAGATCTTTCTGGCAGGGAACAGAGGCCATTCTAATGTGCTGGAACCATATGCAGTGCGGTACAAAACTAATTCCACTGTGGGGTCCATCCGTTTGGAAATATGTTCGGGCCTCTGTGATACATTGAGCCTCGACCGACCCCTGGCCCATAGTGTCTGCTTTTGACTCAGAGTGTGGTAGATAAATGTTAAGTGATTCCCCACTGCAGCTTTGGCTGCATTGGTCAGAGTGGGCGTGTGGGTGCCCTGCAGAGGCTTGGGTACCTGCTGGTGAAAGCGGTCTCTAGCTCCTGAGGCTCATCTCCTTTTTGTCTCGTCTGAGTTTTCTCTTGGACCGCTGTCTATGGAAATCTGTATTCTTCTGGGAAAAAAGAAGACTACCTCCTCCCTTGGCCCTTTCATCTTTCACTCTCATTTCTTTCAATTGAACAGTCCTCATCTCCCTTGTGATCTCCTCCACTTCACTTCAGTGACTTCTGCTGCATTCTTCTGGGTTGAGTTCCCAAGCTTTGTGGTATTCACATGGCTGCACTGTGTGCATGTGTCTGATGATGATGATGATGATGATGATGGTGATGATGCGTGCATGTGTGATTTGTATACACCTTACAGGCAATGATTTCTTATGGGAAAGTAGTGCTGCTAATCCACGAACTGTTGGTCATGGAGGTAGGGAAGTAATGACCCCTCACTTCCCCACTCCTCCACCCACTCTAAACATGCATGCGGGGGGCGTATGTACGCGAAGGGAAGGGGGGAAAATGACATTTTTTTCCATTAAGCAGAGAGAAATGTTCTGTAAATCTTTGAATGTGTCTGGAAAACTCCCAGCTATGAATTGTTTGTCCCTGTTTATTGTTTTTCCGTGTGTTGTTTCTCATTATCATTATGAACCATTTGTCTTGTCCGGGTTACAGACAATTAACTGAAAAGAAAACCGAGAAGAAACGTAGCAGAGGAGTCCATTGGAGTGGGTGATGCGTTGTTGCAGAGGGGTATAGCTGGCAATGCAAATTCGGGGAGAGCAAGGGGGGGGGGAAGGAGGAACTCAGGCCAGTGGATTGCGCTGCCTATGCCTCCTTTCTGTTTGACTTTAAGATTCCACAGTGACAGCACTGGAAACATTGGCATCGCTGGGAGAGTTTTATTATATCTATTGTTTCAAATAACGAGAGAGTGCATGGTGATTAGATCGGTCGAGATAGTCCGTGGTTCACTTGTCCACCTTCTCCGTGAATCGTGAAGACTGGTCATCCATTCCAAGAGTTCTCTATCGCACGCAGCCCTGCGTGTTGTGTGGGACAAAACCGGTTCCACTTATTTTTCTGCTGAGACGTCACTCCAGGTCACGGTCAGGCGAGGATGGGTAGCAAACTGTTGCAGAAACAGCTCCAGCAGTTCAATAGTCAACAGGCTGCTGCGACAAAGATCGTGCAGAAAGCTGCGGCAGAGCGGTCAGCTGCAGTGGGCAGTGCGGCAGCCCGAGCCGCGTATCAGAGTCAACTAAGACCTCATCAGGGCGGGCAATATGGTGAGGCGGCAACGTCCAGTCACAGTGGGACCGGCAAGGGGCCAGCAGCCGAGGTCCGACGGCGGCCTGTTCTTACTGATGACGCGATCAAAAGAATCCAGAGCTTGCCAACTGGAAGGCACCTCAAGCTTGTGCTCGACACTTTGAAGGAGGAGAGGAGACCACTTACTCCTCAACAGATAAAGGAATATTGTGGTGTGGATGTCAATGAGAACAAAGAACTCTTTGAGAGCTTGAAGAATAACCCAAAGGCGAGGTACGATGGGCATTCGTTCGAATACAAGTCGGCGTACGCGGTGAACAACAAGGACGATTTGCTAAGGCTCATAAGAACTGTGCCTGAGGGGATCCCCATGGCCGACCTCGAGGACTCGTACCCAGGAATTATTGAGGATGCGCAGGAGCTGAAGGCTGCAGGCCAGGCATGGCTGATTCAGAACAGTGACAGCCAGAAGGACATCATCTACCCGAACGACCCCAGGATAGTGATCCAAGTCGACGAGGAGATTAAGCAGCTCGTACGGTCGATAGAAATGCCGCGAGAATTTGTGACGATAGAGAGAGAGCTTGAGAAGATTGGCAGTCGGCCAATCAGCAACTCCCTGCAACGGCAAGCGATTCTTGGCGTGCCACGACACTTGCAGCAGAAACCAAAGCCCAGAAAGAAGAGAGAGAACAAGCGTATGAAGTACACTAACTTCCACTTGCCAGAGCTTTTCCGTAGTATTAAGATGCCAGATTAATTCAGAGAGGGGAAGGGGGAGGGGGATTGAACAGTCCGGAACTTTGCTTGCTAGCAGTTTTTGCTGCATTGTTGGCAGCAAGGTCCGCTGAATTAAAATGGAGGAAGGTGGGCGTGAACTTATACAAGACCTACTCGCCCGATCTCATCCTTGGCATGAAGATGTCAAATTGATCCCAGGGGTGGAGGGGCAGATGTGGGATGAGCATGGAGGCACGCAGGAAGCATAGGGAGGTGAAAGCCGTTTTGAGTGTAAATAGGAGGTGAAAGGCAGAAGACATTTGGCAGAGGGTGCGCAAGAAGTAGGTATGATCGAACAGGTGAAGCCCCTTCTCCTCCGTTTTCAATGCCCTTGGCAGAAGATTGGTTGCAATTTCTCAACAATACTCTTCGGACTCTTCAGAGAAGTGGAGTGGTTTTGTTGTTTTGTGTTCGTTTGACTGCATGCTTGCCCATGCTCTTCAGAGAACTTTCACGACATGTGTTCTCATCGTACAGAATGGCAGTAATGATGATGTTTGTATTCTTTCACTGAGAGCATTTCTGTGTGTGGAACTGTGAAATCAAACTCTCACCCAGAAATGAGGCCAAACACAGCCCACTCTCAGTCAGAAATGGACTTTCAGTAAACACACACAAAATCCCCTCTTATGTGTTTGTGTGTGTGTGTGTGTGTGTGTGTGTGTGTGTGTGTGTGTGTGTGTGTGTGTGTGTGTGTGAGAGAGAGAGAGAGAGAGAGAGAGAGAGAGAGCTTAGTGCTGCCAATGGGCTGCGTCCTGGGGCATCAGGCAGCAACAAGTCTTGGAGTTGTCGGCTGATCGTAAGAGGACGCTTGCTGGGGCATGGCAATGTTCTTGTGTTAAAACACGACCGTCCAGTCTTTGGAACGATAGCTTGAACAATCTTTTCTCTATGTCAACCCCAAGCCACGTTCAGCCACCTGAGCACTTTCTCCGAAACCGTTTGGCTTTATCATATCAACATTCAGCAGAGCTCACAACTTCACAAGCGTTGTCGTTATCCCAAGAGACGAAAAAACTGGAGGCAGGGGAAGATGGCCTTTGGCCTTTGCTAGCATCCCCAGATCCAAATCTGGAGGCGTTGCGGACTGGACAAAGGTGGTGTGCTTTACACCCCATTTCCCCTGAGAAGGCAACCCCCCATATTCTGACTACCCCCCAACCCTTGGGCTGCTTTGAATTTGGACCAGAATTGCGATAAGGAAGTCGGCACTCTCTCACGGTGGATCAACGTGGAGGAGGGAGACAGGGAGACGCTAGTGCTCGAATTTGCACCAGGAAACGTTTTGGTGGGTGCCAGACAACCTCCCCATTCCTGTGGCAATTTTTGGCAAAAGTGCAGAAAACAAATATCGGGCAGTTGACGTGGGAAGCTGCTTTTGAGCAAGGCCCCAGTAGACAATATCTGGGTTCTTTTGTGGGTAAATCTTGCACTGGGTATCGCGCTACCATCCTACAACCCATGGTCTCCAGTGGAACCATTGCTTGTGGGTCCTCCTCTGCTGTCTGCATCGTTTTGACAGCATGCACGGGACTGTTCATACCGACTGTCCTGGTGTGGGCTGCGAGTGAATTGCAGCAGTGTTTCAGTCATTTTTTGTAATGTGGGACAGAGAATGCATTGGAAGAGATGTTTTCTGCACTTTCGTGGTGTCGTGCACATTTCAAGTGTATGATCGGTTTTGTAACGTGCGACGAAGAATGCATCAGGAGATGTTTTCTGCACTTTGATGCTGAAGAAAGAACGGTGTCAGCTCGAGCAAAGCAGTGGAGGAAGGGGTTGGGGAAGGATGCAGGCTGTGAAAGTGATCGCATAATAGGCATATGTTATTCTGTGTTGGTGTTTGTCATGAAGAGACAGAAGGGGTGAGGAGAGAAGGCAGGAGGGGAGGGAAGGGAGGGCCATAGGGAACAGACGGGGCATGCATGGGTTTGATCGCAGGCTCATTGTGTGGTTCCCTTTGAGCCAGTAATGGCCCAGTATGGGACCATGGAGGATGTGGACGGGTGTCTGGGACTGGTTCGTAGTTCTGAAGGGGTTGCAGCCCAAGTAGCTTAGGTTTAACAAGTTAAGTCCTCGCCGAGGGGCAGTGTTTGTGGATGGGTGCGTTTCGCATTGCTCATATGGCTTCTATTGGGTGGAAGAAGGGCTCCTTTGAGCCAGTATCCGCGGTCCATCGAGAGATTCGAGACCTTCAGTATTTTAAATAAGAAAAAAACAGTACGTGCATGCGCGCGCGCGCGCGCGAGAGAGAGAGAGAGAGAGAGAACCCAACCTCACTAACTATGCGCCTCTCCCCTCCTCCCCCCCACGCGATCAAGTGTAGTATATGCTTCAATCAGTTTCATATCCTATCCTCCCCCCCACATGATCAAGCGTAGTATCTGATCCGTGGTCCATCGATACCTTTTTATTTTAGAAAAGAAAAAAAAAGCACGTGCGTGCAAGGGAGCAAAAGGGAGAAAGAGGTCCATCGACATGGTTTGCGCAAGACGTGAGTGAGAGAGAGAGAGAGAGAGAGAGAGAGAGAGAGAGAGAGAGAGAGAGAGAGAGAGAGAGAGAGAGAGAGAGAGAGAACCCGACGTAACTAACAATGGACCTCCTGCCCCCTCCTCCCCACACGATCAAGTGTAGTATCTGCTTCTATCAGTTTCGAATCCGATCTTCCTTTTCATTTTAAAAAAGAAAAAAACACCGCGTGCGTGCGTGAGGAAGTGAGAGGGGGAGAGAGAGAGAGAGAGAGAGAGAGAGAGAGAGAGAGAGAGAGAGAGAGAGAGAGAGAGAGAGAGAGAGAGAGAGAGAAACCAACTTAACTAACAATGGGCCTCATCCCCCCTCCCCTCACACGATCAAGTGTAGTATCTGCTTCGATCAGTTTTATATCCGACTAGATGACCCGTTGCAGCTTCGCCCACAAAAACAGA